TTCTTAAGAACATAAAGATTTTTATTCAATTTGCAGATGATATAATCTTTTTTTGGGACTTTATTGCTTTCAGACTGCTCCGTGTATAAATGTCCATCCACATCACCATGGATATTACCTTCATATACTCAGATATCATCTTCACTGTGGCCAAAATAATAATCAAAGTCAATTCCTTCATTGTGTTGGAACCCTTTGACAATGGATATTACCATATACTTCATAGTTTTTCCTTTTAATCTTTCTAGAACTAGAAAAACCACTTGTTGTTCAATGCTTTCTTTCATTTGGTATGTCTCACAAACTTATATGTTTGATTCTTCAACAAAGAATTCATTTCTTCTTCAATGTCCTTATGCCAATCGGCTTTGTAAATAAGAAATTTAGCTTCCTGAAAGCCCCCCCCTCTCAAGCCGTCTGGTGTTAAAAATGATGTAGTTTGAAGTCAGAAATCTTGTTGACAAAGCATAAACTGAACGAATCGTCGAGCTTTTATTTGTAACTTTTGGCAATGGATCTGAATTATCATGGGCTAGAAGCTCTCTGCTCAATGCATTCTTAATTTTTCTGATCAACTTCATTATCACATTCTTCAGTAGAAACATAATTATTATTTTTCATATATTCTTTCTAAAAATTTGGAGTTTTGTCGCTCGCTAACTAATTCCTTAACATCATAATATTGGTTTGTGTAGAACAACACAAGTCCAATTTGAACAACATTCTTTAATTCTGGATCCTATAACCTATTCTCAAACTTTTATTCTACATATCCAATAAAGATTCATAAAATAGATTTGAGGTCCAGCTTCTTCCACTACTTATTTGGCACATGTACAAATACTTTGCACCTAAATACTCTCAAGTGAGAATATGAGATATCTTTATAGGCCACAATTCCTCTAGAACTTCAAATTTTCGAAGAATTGAAGTTGACCTATTTATTAGATAACAAGTTGTCAATAAAGCTTCAACCTAGAATGGATTTTGCAGCTTACCCATTATGAGCATGCATCCGACGTTCTGAACAATGACGAGATTCGTTCGTTTTGATGCACTGTTATGTTGTAGGCTTCATGGAACATGTTGTTCATGCCTAATACTATGTTACATGTAGTATACAGAGAACTAATAGGAATATTACCATGTTTCACACCTTTCATTCCTAATACCATGTTGCATGTAGTATATAGAGAACTAATAGGAATATTACTTACCTTCATTGTTTGATCAGAGACATCTCAGCTGCTGTCCTATTTGCCTTTCCACCATTGCATTTAAAACTTTAAAATGACTGAATACCATATATTTCGACCTAAGATAGTAATCCTATACATTTGATGATGCATCATCAATAAATGTCAAAAAATACCTGCTTCCACCAAGAGATTTCTCTTTATTAGGTTTACCCACATTATAATGGACAAGTCTCAACAACTTGGAGAGATTATTTCTTGTGGAACTAAAGGAAACCAGAGTTGATTCCCAAATAGGAAGTGCTCCCATGGATCCAAGGCAACATCTTTGGTAATTAAAATATAATTCTTATTTATCAATCTTCAACCATTTCATGCCCATGTGGCCTAGTCTTATGTGCCATAAGTATAGTAATGTCTCTTCCTCTACAACATTGATGTTTGGTTAAGGCAACTTTACATGAGTTTTGTATGAAGTAAGATAAAGTTTTCCTCTCGTAACGACCATGAAAACTTTTAACAACTTATGGGTGCCATATTTGAGTTGGTTGCCATACCCTTGGAAACCAAGAGTTCTAATTGAGCTAACATTCGTTATTTAATATGCATCATGTCGAATATCTTCTACAACCAATGTCCATCATATTGGTTTTCATATGCACAAAACCAATTCCATCAATGCTACAGAAACACATATTACCCATATTCATAATGCCATGTCACCGAGTTTATAAGTAGCGAATAAATCCTAGTCTAGAGTGACCCGATATAATGCGACAATATTAGTCACACACTCTTCATCATGAGTGCCTATATGTAGACATGCTTTATTTTTTCATGTATCAAGGGCATGTCTTGTGATATGGTGACATTTTTTCACCATTATCTATGCTTTAATACTGGTTCATTTCCTGTTGATCTCATAAAACCCTTTGGTAATCACTTTTTTATTATTATTATTTTTTTTGTAGATATAATATTTGCAATGATTGCACTAGCCCTCAAACCATGTATTTTTATACTTTCATCTCTTTTGTGATCTCCCTCGAACTTGGGATATCCCTCTACCTCTAGTTCTGGCTCCATACCTTAGATTTTTGACATATGGGAAAAGGCTTATATGTACCCGTTTCTTTCCTTCTAGCTTTCCCTTCATTAGGGCGTCTATGACCATCTCCATTGCTACTTTGCTGCCTATTCAACATCACCGAGATGGTCTATGAGATCTTCGAACTAACTCGAATGTTAGGTTATGGATGTAGCACTCTATAACTTGTGGTTCACAAGGTGACTCATTAGTAAGGTCTTGTTGTCTGCCATCTTTGCTTAATACATACTCTCGAGCTTTCCCTAAAGTTCATACACATCTATTTCTTGAGAGACCCGAGGAAAAACACTATGTCCAATGCACTAATTTGAGATTACACCATTCGTCCCTCGTGCACATGTCAGAAAGCGTGTTTAGTTCCTATTTTCAAAAATTAACCCGGACCGTCCCTCGTTTGGTTAAAAGTTGCACGCTTCATCCCTCGTTAGTTTTAATTTGCACGCTTCATCCCTTATGCGACATAAAATGACTATTATGCCCTTTTGTCTTATTTTTAATTTAATTATAATTGATTTTGTATTTAAAAGAAATAAAAAAAATTTCCAATCCCTCGTTAATTATAATTCACTTTTAATTTACTCTTATTTCTTTTTTCTCTATCAGCTCCGTCACATTCTACTACTTCTTTTACCTTCAAGATACCAAGAACCCTAGGAACATCATCATTCATCAGATTCCTCCTTAAATTGTTATAATAAATCAACCTAATCCTAATCGAGTCTATGTAAACCTTGATATCATCGCAATCAGCAATAAAAAAATAAACATATTAACATTATCAGTTAAACCTTTTAATTACTGCCCGTGTAGAACCACTTTATGGTGATAATCAGATAGTTTATCTGTGGAAAAATGTCTATGAACCACTAAGATCTGTCGATGAACGTTCATAGAATCGGGTTTGTTAGCCATTATTTCGAAAATGGTGGTGCTGGATTGGGGTTTATCAGTGGCTGGCTCACTGGAGCTCAAATCTGGAGACGGAGATGGTAGTTCGTCAAAGCTCACAGATCTGGAAATGTGACGTGCACCGTTTGTCTCAGAGGTTAGTTTTTTTGAACCTTCATCGTCTCAGGAACATCTTCGTCTCTCCAGATCCTTGCTGCCTAAGTTTCGAACAAACGCCGCTTAGGTTTTCAAAAACAGCCTATGGCTTTAGATCGAGCTCCATTGTCTGTTTGGTGTTGATTACAGGTTTGTTTTGGTTTTGTTAGGTAGTGGTGAATGGTGGTTTTTAATGGTAGTCGAATGATGGTTGTTCAGGAGGTATTGTCGGTCATAGGTGAAGGTACCCGAGTTTTGAGAGGGGATAGTGAAGAGTGAGAGAGAGAGAGAGAGAGAGAACCGGTGGTAATCGACGGTGGATGGTGGTTTCCGGTGGCGGTGAACAGTGGTTTATGGTGACGGTGGACGGTGGTTCTTGGTGGCGATGAATGGTGGTTACTGGGAGGTTCTTAAAAGAGGAATAGAGAAGAGAAAGAGTTGTAAAAGTATTTCTTTAACTTTTTATAATAAACAAATTAATAAATAATTAATAAACAACAAATAAATAGAAAAAAAATAAAAAATAAATAAATAAGGGCAAAATGGTATTTTTATGTATGGAGGGACTAAGCGTGCAAGAAAAAACAACCCGATGGACGGTCCGAGTTAATTTTTGAAAATAAGGAGTAAATACGCTTTTTGGCATATGCACGAGGGACGATTGGTATAATTTACCCTACATATTAATATTTCTAATTTAATAGTAATTGATAAGATATATAGATTAGTCTCCAACATAAATTTAGAGGGTTGATGTAAAATTATTGATTTATTTTTTTATTTTTTTTTTACATTTTCCATTTTGGTTTTTAACAAGAGCATCTCCAATATTACTCAATTTTTGTCGTTACACTCTATTTATAAAGTGTAAAATATAAAAATGCTCCAAACAAACTCTATTGTACACTCTATAAATAGAGAAATGAGTGATGACACTTTAAATTTGGAGTGTAAAGTATACAATCTCAAATGTAACACTCTATTTTTACAATTTATTTTTAGATTTTTTACACTTTATTTTTAGAGTGTAAAAGGGAATGTAAATTGAGTTGGAGATGAACCATTCTAAACTCTATGTTACACTCTTTTTTTGAAGTGAAAATAGAGTATGCTTGGCGATGCTCTAATTATATACCCATATATCCTTTTTTTTTTTGGCTCTGTCAGCATAAAGTATCGAATAATTAACATTAATATTTTACAAAAAACATATATATTATCACAAAGAAGTTGTTAAAATCTATAAAATGTTACACTCTTCTTTAAGAGTGAAAATAAAATGTGATTGGAGATGCTATAATTATACTCATATATCCTTTTTTTTTGCCCTGTCAGCATAAAGTATCAAATAATTAACATTAACAAATACATTACTTTACGTAAAACATATATATTATCACAAAGAAGTTGCTAAAACCTATCAAATAAGATCAATATCTTATTGTTCTTATTATTTGTATATGATGATTGTTCTTATTATCTGTATAACTTCTGTTGATACGAATTACAATAATTTGATTAAAATATAACTAAAACACAATAGTGCCATGCCAAATTCATTAAAGATATTAAAAAGCAACATCATTTTCAAAATACCTGCCTCCTTCTACCATCTCATCATCTCTCTTGTCTTTCATTCTCAACAGTGAACAATGGTGGACACTTTGGTTAATGTTGCTGCAGAAGGTGTACATAAAAAGGTGGGGTATGTAGCTGCCAACGAACTCGCCCTTGCTTGGGGTTTCAAGAAGAAGTTAGACACTCTTGAACAAACATTGAAAATTATTTGTGCCAAGCTACGTGATATTGAGAATGAAAAAGGTGAAAACCATGGTGTGATAGTATGGTCGACACTCCTAAAACATTTGGTTGGTGAAGCTGATGATATGTTGGATGATCTTCATTATGAAATACTGAGGCACGAGGTGATGACACGGGACCAAACTAGAATGATAGCCTTTAAATCTCTCCCAAGCTTGAAAACGTTTTCAACTCGTAGAGAAATTGGACACAGGATTGAAAACATTACCAACAAATTTTGTGAGATGATTGAACAAGGTAACAAATTAGGACTACAAAATAGACACCCTCGCCTTGTTCTAGATGGTGTCCACCAGGAGACTTATTTGTATCTAGACAAATTGAAAATTGTTGGGAGGCAGAATGATGAACTACATATCATACAACTTTTAACCCAAGCAAGAAAAGAGGAAAAAATTACGATTGTTCCCATTGTGGGAATGGATGGGATTGGGAAGACAACACTGGCTAAGATGGTCTACCATAATCCAAAAATTTGGAGACATTTTGATGTTAGAGTTTGGTTGTGTGTATCAGTTAAGGTTGATGTCAACACCCTTCTCGCAAAAATTTGTGAATCTCTTCCCGGAGATAAATGTAAATCATTAACAAGGGTGAACTTAATCACAAATCTTCGAAAGAAGATGGGATCAAATAGGTATTTGGTAGTCTTGGATGACGTTCACGATGAAGATAGGGCACACTGGGATGATTTTAGGACATGTATGCTAGATGTAAACTCACTGAATGGAAGTTGCTTTCTTGTCACTACACAGAATCTTGAAATCGGAACTAAGGTTTTTAGTGAGGATTTCCATGCTTTGCAAGGTCTTTCTGATGATGATTGTTGGTCTATCTTTAAAGAAAGGGTGTTTATAGCAGAGCAATCATTGTTGCCAGAATTGGAGGAGATAGGGCATGATATTGTGAATAAGTGTCGTGGTTTGCCCCTATTAGTAAACATAATAGGTGGCATGTTGCGAAATTTTAATGACAAAGAGAAGTGGTTGACACTCAAAGATAACAAGGCTTGGGATCTAGAAGAAGAAGGACATATAGTTCAAAACATCTTGAAAATGAGCTTTGATGATCTGCCAAATTGTGTTGTAAAACAATGCTTTACATATTGTTCAGTTCTTGAGAAGGATAGGGTCGCGAACAAGAACGAACTTATCCATCTTTGGATGGCTTTAGGGTTGGTTCGAGCAAATGAGAATGAAAAAAAGGAGGCCGAGGATGTTGGAAATGATATTTTCCATGTTTTGGTTAGCAGATCATTGTTCCAAGATGTTACAGATCAGTATAGTTACTTCACTTATCGTATCCACGAACTCACTTATTTCCGTATGCATGATCTGGTGCATGATCTTTCAGTATCACTTTTGAAACATGAAAGTGCATGTTTGATGCATTCGACAAGGGATGATATTGTATATATTCCCCAGGTGAAGTATCTAGCAGTGTATAATGAACTGAAGAAGCAACGTGAATTCACCAACAAGGTCTCCATGGTGTTAAAAGATTATATGGCCACTAGAACTTTGCATGCATTGTTCTTTGAGGGTGAAGTTGAGAAGAGCATTTCATTTCACCGTTTCAAGTCCCTTCGAATTTTAAAATTTTCTGGATGTAAACTAGAGAAGCTAGACGATTCAATTGGAGAATTGGTGTATCTTAGGTATCTTGATTTATCAAATACCGAAATCAAAGCTCTTCCAGAATCTATTGGTAAACTTTATCATTTGCAAACTCTAAAGTTGTTTGGCTGCTATCTCCTACATTTGCCGGTGGAAATGGAAAATCTGATAAGCCTAAGAGTCTTTGAGTTTCAGAAACTTCTTCACATCCACAAGCTGGGACAATTTACTTCTCTTAGAACATTACCTTTCTTTCGTGTGTATAAACAGAAGGGGTATCAAATTGAAGAGCTAGGTCATCTGAAACACCTTCGAGGAGAGATCCAACTTTTAAATCTAGAAGAAATTAACAGCAAAGAAGATGCTCTTAAGGCAAATTTATCCGAAAAGAAAAATTTATACAAGATTGAATTCGTTTGGAGTTTGGATCGAGGTGTCAACCACAACAACCATGATGTATTGGAAGGCTTGCAACCCCATGGAAATGTGAAAAGCTTAACAATTACAAACTTTTCCGGTGATAATTTTCCACCATGGGTAATGAAGATGGCAATAAATATTGAAGGGAAATGGGCACCGCTTAAAAATCTCGTGGAGATTATGTTATACGGATGTAGAAGCTGTGTATATCTTCCGATCCTTGAATACTTACCACTTCTTCAGGATCTCGTGTTACAGAGCATGGACAACTTGACATGCTTAAGAAGTCGTTCAGATGGGGGCGATAATGTTACCAGATTAATGAATCCTTTGTCTCCATCATTGAGATCACTTAAAGTAGGTTGGATGAAAATGTTAGAAAAGTGGATAGATGGAACACCGAATAGCTCAACAATGATATCGCCTGTTCTTGAGAAGTTGCAAATTCTAAATTGCCCAAGGATTATGCTTCTAGATGAATGTCATCCCCATCCTCTTCTTTCCTTAGAGATACACAACTGTGATAACCTTGTGTCCATTAATAGTATACAAGGCCTCAAATCTCTGGAATCTTTAGAAATCAACAATTGTCGTAGTCTTTCAGGACTACCCCATCTACCCAATGAGGGAAATTCTTTGAAGATTTTGAGAATCATCGGTTGCCATAAATTGACTTACTTACCTCATGAAACATTTTACTGTTTTTCCTTTTTAAGCAAGTTGTCACTTGGTCCCTTCTCGAATGACCTCCTATCTTTCCCAAATCTGCAAGGCATTGAGAAGTTGAGCAACCACCTTCAGTCATTGGAATTGTTTGGTTGGAATCATTGGGCTTCAATACCAAAAGAAATAAAACACCTCACTTCACTCTCTCGGTTTTTCATATTTAATTTTGGAATTCGAGAATTGCCTACTTGGTTAACCAATATGTCATCTATCCGAAATATGAGATTCTATGATTGCCCCCAGTTGGATAAAGCAGCAGTTAAACTGGGAGCGCCATGGGAAGCAGATCATGTCTTGGTAGATGGAAACAGAGTGTAAATAGAGATGTTCGTTACTTGGTTAGTTGCAATGATGATGAACATGGTTTGAGTTCATGTGTTTTACTTCGTCTGTTTTGTGGTGCCATATTTATAAGCATGTGTAATTTATATTATGTGTCACACTTGCGAGAATCACGTGCTACTTTCTATTTAATGGCAAAATTCAAGTCCCGAACCATGGCTCACGATTTTTGGATGGTTTCAAATTAACAATTCAGGCAGCTAAAAAAATTAGTTTCAAGTGTTACCTAGAGGGAATTTAATTTTTAAACGTATTGGGTAAATGCTTAATTTTTATTGAAGAAAATATGAATGAATGGAAAAGGAACTTAATTTATCGAAGGAAATACGAATGAATGGAAAAAAGAACTCTTTAATTTGGTTCAAAGAATTAATATCACAAAACAGTTTATATACTGGGTTGATAAAAAATAAAATTAAAGTTTAATTAAAAAAACAAAAGATATAAGGTTTTTCATTATATTAAGTCAAGATTATATATAACTGATTTTGTATTAAGAACATCCGTGATGAGAGCGCCTATTACAATTTGTCTTATTATCATGGAAGATCATCTCCTCAAAAAAAAAAATTTATTGCTTATTCTTATCGTTTTTCTAATCGACCATTTAATAGCATTGAAACACATAGTTTTTTCACCATTTAATATATATTGAGTGGTCAATATATTTTCATAAGTCACTACAAGAAATAACTTCACTATCGATGACGGTATTAACGGTGACACGGAGCTTTGATGGTGACTCAAGCTTGAGTCGCCGCTCATAGTGTCGCCAGTAATGCTTTAGAGACCGAATCCGCAGTTACACGTTCTGGTAAATCCCAACCGTACGATCGACGTTCTAATCCAATGGATGGGCCTTTTTCACACATACTCAATAACAGAGATAAAATGTCGCTGCTAAAGATCGTGAAAAAAGAAGCAGGATAAATTCCCTCATTTGTTGTCACCACTATTACTTATTGTCGCCGGTAATCACCTCGAGTCGCCGGTAAAGGTCGAGGAAATAATATCCCATCCCGTCTCATTTTCTTTCCTTCCTGCTTGCTGCTTCGGTTTCTTCCCGGTCAGTTCTTCCTTATCGACCTTCAACATCCGACGATCCATAGTACACGGTTTCTCTCTTCCTCCGTCTTCAAACACCGGTCAACCACCACTACTACTGTTTTCCGCCTAACGCCGACAACGGGAGTCGGTTGTACCGTTTATTTTGGAGCTTCACCGGCGACGATTTGCATCCCCTTCATCATTTCTCTATTTCATTCTCTTATAACCTCAATTTCCAACTTATATTAGAGATTAATTTATGAAAAATGTTGATTTTTAGTTTTTGGAGTTTCACCGCTGGTTTTTGACTGTCATCGGCGAAGATTGTTGATTTTATGGTCACCATTGTTGATTTCCTGCCACCACAAGTACCATTCTCCTTTAATTTCGAGATTATTTGAAAAATTGTGTATTTCTTCCTATTATGTAAATGTAGCCATATTTGTGTATATTTTTATTTTTATGTATCAAATGTGGATTGTATGTATGTATGAAATGTGTATTTGTATTTGTATGTATATGTATATGTGTATAATGTATATGCGTATTTGTATGTATATGTATGTATAATGTGTATTTCTATGTATGAAATGTGGATTGTATGTAATGTGTATATTGCAATCCTATAGTGGAAAAAGAAAAAAAAAATAAAGTACGATGCTATTATTGATAATGGTATTTAAAATATATGTGTATTTGTATGTAATATGGATTGTATGTTTGTATAATGTATATCTGTATGAATGAAAACATGACATTATGTATGTATATTTGAATTTGTATGCAATGTTTATTTTTTGTAGGATGTTATTATTGAAAATGCTATTATTGAGAATGCAATTATTGTAGGATGCTATTGTTGAAGTAAAACAAATAAAGTAGGATGCTATTATTGAGAATGTTAGTTTTTGTAATAAAAAAAGAAAAGAAAAAAAGAATGTGTGTTGTAAAAAAACAAATAAAGTGAGATGCTATTAATGAAGGATGCCATTATTAAAAAAACAAATAAAGTAGGATGCTATTTTTGTAAAATGTTACACCCGGTCATTTTAGGCAAAATTTCGTTCTTTAATTAGTAAGTTTAAGTGTGGGATTTAAGTATACGCACAACGCATATAGCCTCTATGTGCTGCGTAGAAGGAAAGTGGATGTCAAGGCCTTAATGAACTACACGGGGCGTAGCTAAGAAGTACGCAAGGCCTACTCGACTAGAGTCTAAACCCAAAATTTAGGGGTTTTAGCCATATTTAAACACCTTAGCCTTCATAAACCTCTTCGATTCTCAGCCTCCATTTTTCCAAACGACTCCTTTGAAAACCTAACCTCATATTAGTGCATTATGAGCTAAAAAGTGTGTTTTGGGTGCTTTTGAAAGAAGAAGTGTAACACCCGGATCCTGGTATGTATTTGCATATTGAATTATTCATTTTTGCAAGGGGACTCGATGAGTTGGAGGCCCAAAATCGTCGAGTATGACGGGAATTGGACGCGAGATTTAAGTCATCTACTCGACGAGTCGAGAGCCTCGACTCGACGAGTAGGGCTGCCGGAGTGAAACCCTAATTTTTAGGGTTTGCACCCTATTTAAACACTTTATCTGCCCTCAACTACAGCCACCATCACCTCCAAACCTCAGTCACGAAACCCTAGCCCATTTTGAGTGTTCTTGAGCCATTGGTGTATGTTCTTGGTGATTTTGAAGCTTGAGAAGGAAGAGAAAGCTTGGGGGGTTCTAAAGGAAGCAAGTAGATCCAGAGTTTGTGCTGCTTTTCCAGCTCATTTGAGGTATAAAGTCTATACCTTGTCTATTTGTTTACTGGATCTCTTCATAGGGCCATTTGGAGCATATTATGGAACCATTCATGGATGCAAGCATGTTTTGGGGTGATGACTTTGGATCCAGAGCCTTTGAGGGACTCCATTGCATAAAGATGCCATCTTTATGGCCATGGGAGTCCCATGCTTCATAAGAACCACTTTTTAGGGATTATTAAGCTAGAAAACCCATGTATGCACCTAAAGTTGGAAACTTTACGTGTCATATCGACCCTAGGAGGTCAGATCTATGTTTTTGATGCATTATGCCCGACTGAAATCGACTGAATAGATTTGGACTTTAGGGGACTCGACGAGTCGTACATACAACTCGACGAGTCGGGTAGTGGTTCCCCAACCTTTTCTGCTACTGAGCAAACTTGTTGAGTCTAGAGGAGGACTCAGCGAGTTGGACGTGTTTATGGACTTGAAGATCAAAAAACTCGACGAGTTCAGGGATGAACTGGGCGAGTTGAGAAAAAATGTCCCAACTGAGATGAAGAAGGACCCGACGAGTTCAAGGATGAACTCGGCGAGTCATGAGCGAAATGTCCCGATTCTGTATGAAGGAGAACTCGACGAGTTCAGGGAGAACTCGGCGAGTTAGGAGTAAAAGGTCGCAACGATGTAGGAAAGAACTCGTCGAGTTGTTGAAAGACTCGACGGGTAGGATCGAAGTTCCAGTGTGGTGTGGGTTATGGAACTCGATGAGTTGGTGGACTAACTCGGCGAGTTGGGTCAACCAGATGTTGACTTTGACCAAAAGTTGACCATGACCAGGGTGTTCACCTTGACTTTGACTATGACCTGAGTTGACCCTTGAAAGGGTTATGAGTATAGAAGGGTAATTAAAGAAGATTGTTATGTGTAGGAGTTTGAGAGGAGTCGATCCCAGCAACGAGGACAGTTCAGCTACTTCACGACATTGAGGTGAGTTACCTTCCAGTAGAAGTGGGTCTACGGCTATAATGCCGACCCACTAGTAGGAGTTGTATGTTAGATAGTTGTCTTTGTGATAATTATCTAGGTTTGTCACTATCTGATATGTTTTATGTGCTAGCATGGTATGATGTTACGTGATAGCAATAATAGGGGGAATAGTCCTCGGTTACTGGTCGATAGGACTGAAGGAGTAGTTTAGTACCCAGCTATGCTAGACAGATTACGATATATGTGTCATGAGGTTATGTGGTAGTGGTAGGGAGTGAAATAGTCCCCAGGTACCGGTCGACAGGACATGAGGGGTTGGCCAGCACACTGCTAGGCGAGGTACCGGTCGACAGGACCGAAGGGGTAGGCTAGCACCCTGATATGCTAGGCGAGGTACCGGTTGACAGGGCCGAAGGGGTAGGCCAGCACCATGATATGCTAGGCAAGTTACTGGTTGAAAAAGACCGAAGGGGTAGCAAGTACCCATATATGTTAGACAGTATGTGTTATGTATGGTATGTGGTATGATGGGGGAACTCACTAAGCTTTGTACTTACGATTTTCAGTTTTTATTTCAGGTCCTTTTTCTTCGAAGGGAAATGAGCCAACACGGTAGCAGCGCATCACACACATGATTTCCGCATTATGAGATTCTTGGGATTTGTACTCTGACATTGTTACTACTCTATGACATGGATTTTGAGACATATGATCTATGGTTTTTATGAAATGAAATAACGTGATGATGTTTTCTCTAAATTGTTTTATGAACCGTTGTATCAAAACTAAATTTTTGGTCTTGAAATTTGGGATGTTACAAGTTGGTATCAGAGCCTTGGTTTGAGGGATTCAGGCACACTCTCGGGTGTGTCTGGACTCAAACTGAGGACTTGGTATGAAAATTTTCAAAGGAAAATCACTTTATAAAAAGAATTTGAAAGGAGCAAAGAGCTTTGAACAGAACCATATGTGTGATGCGTGCAACCGGTCGAGCTCAAGTATGTTTTCCCCAAGATACCCATGCATGTTATGTTATGATATGATATGATTATGAGAACTGCATGCTAGATTAGGGCTAATGATCTTGGGAGGATGCCTCTTATGCCTACAGTATATGTATAAGAACTGTATGCTAGATTAAGGCTAAGGATCTAGGAAGATGCCTGATATGCCTGTTGTATGTG